AGGGAGAGCAAGGAGCACAGCCCAGCAGACCAAGCTGGCGAGGTCCGTTTTGGAGGATTTGGGCTGCTGAGCGGCCAAAACGAACCACCAGAGGGAGAGCAAGGAGCACAGCCAAGCAGACCAACATGGCGAGGTCCGTTTTGGAGGATTTGGGCCGCTGAGCGGCCAAAACGGAACACCAGAGGGAGAGCAAGGAGCACAGCCAAGCAGACCAAGCTGGCGAGGTCCGTTTTGGAGGATTTGGGCTGCTGAGGAGCCAAAACGGACCACCAGAGGGAGAGCAAGGGACAGAGACCCACCGCAGCTCTCGTTTGAGTGATGTTGCCAGGCCTGTGGTGCGCACAGGAACATGGACGTTATCATCCCACCCCACCCCACCCCCCACCCCACCCCACCCCCACCCATTGGAAGAGCTGGGGAGGTCCGTTTTGAAGGATTCGGGCTGCTGAGCGGCCGAAACGGACCACCAGAGGGAGAGCAAAGAGCACAGCCAAGCTGACCAAGCTGGCGAGGTCCGTTTTGGAGGATTTGGGCTGCTGAGCGGCCAAAACGGACCACCAGGGAGAGAAAAGGACAGAGACTCACCGCCTTGATGAGGTTGCCGTGCCTGTGTGCGCACAGGAACATGGACGTTATCATCCCACCCCACCCCACCCCACCCCCACCCAGTGGAAGAGCTGGGGAGGTCCGTTTTGAAGGATTTGGGCTGCTGAGCGGCCAAAACGGACCACCACAGAGAAAGGGCAAGGAGCACAGCCAAGCTGACCAAGCTGGCGAGGTCCGTTTTGGAGGATTTGGGCTGCTGAGCGGCCAAAACGGACCACCAGGGAGAGAAAGGCACAGAGACCCACCGCCAGCTCTCGTGTGATGAGGTTACCGTGCCTGTGTGCGCACAGGAACATGGACATCCCATCCCACCCCACCCCACCCCCCCCCCCACCCCACCCCCACCCAGTGGAAGAGCTGGGAGGTCCGTTTTGGAAGGATTTGGGCTGCTGAGCGGCCAAAACGGACCCCCACAGAGAAAGGGCAAGGAGCACAGCCAAGCTGACCAAGCTGGGCGGTCCGTTTTGGAGGATTTGGGCTGCTGAGCGGCCAAAACGGACCACCAGGGAGAGAAAGGGACAGAGACCCACCGCCAGCTCTCGTGTGATGAGGTTGCCGTGCCTGTGTGCGCACAGGAACATGGACGTTATCATCCCACCCCACCCCACCCCACCCCAACCCCCAACCCCACCACCCCACCCCACCCACCCTAAAACCAGATGGTGTCGCAGATGAGGGGAAAATGGTGTCGCAGATGAGGGAAAATCAGGGGGGTTTTGGTGTCACAGATGAGGGGGATTTGGTGTCACAGATGAGGGGCTTACCACTTGCAAGTGGGGGGGCCGCACCACCTAGGGGTTGCGGGATACAACCTAGACATATATTGGAGATATAGTTGATAAATGATCGTTGGTTGTTGACTTTATGGAGTTCTAGTTATATATGTATGTATATAGTTTTGCTATCCAATACATGAGGGGGTATCACAATCCATGAGCTGGGAAATGCTATTAATCGGTAACCCTCCAGCAATAAGGGTTGATGAAGTCTTCATTAAACACGAACAACTCTCTTGGAGGCTATTTTCTGAGAGAGATGATAGAGAGATCCTGTATGATTTTGGGGGTTGAGCTCAACCATCAGCCATGACCATTTGATAAGCAAATGGTTCTGGATATGGGTCGGGATTTTTGGCCTTTTGGGATGAACAGTACCAAATACTACCAGTGCACACTCTCCGGTAATCCACGATACTTATGGATGTGATGGAAACCATGCCTGTCTGTGGAGGATGTTCATATCTATTATTTTAATGGCAGGTTTCCATAGCTATGCTAGATTCCCTGGGGATACAGGGGAACATCAACCCTGCAACAAAGGGGCATTTCTAGCGGTTAGATGAAACACATGTGGGAATTTAGCCAACCATCATGGGAATTTTAAAATTTAGCCAACCATCATGGGAATTTTAAAATTTAGCCAGCCATCATGGGAATTGTAAAATTTAGCCAGCCATCAAAAAAAATTGGAGAAAGGAACCTACAAAGCACTTAGAGACGCTTAGAGACCAAGCTGCAAGAATTGGGGGATCAACACGATAAATTCGGGGGTCTTTGCCTTGAGCAACAAAAATGCCGCTGTTGACGAAACACATCAACCAAAAACACAGAAATCAAAACCAACCGGATAAGGCCCAGATTTGTTGGGTTGTCGTGGGCCGAGTAAAGTGTAGATGTTGCCAACAAGGGATAAGAAGGTCCTGAAATGGCTGGTGTCTTGCAGTAGCTTATGGCCATCAAACAAAGGGATTCGAACCTTCAACAGTGAGGACGATTGCGGGTCGATCCAGAAGTGGGTCATGGCAACATGATCCGGAAACCAAAAAAAACTATCCAAAACTGCGTAAATGGGCGTATGACCCACAACCGATGGTGGGTTAAAACCAGCTGGTTTCATGGGAAGGATCATCATTGAACAGGAGAACCTCTACAGTATCAACCAACTGGAAGGTCTGGGGATGACAGATGATTTTGGGCATGTTCCTATTGGAAATGGCATCAGAATGTGTTGGGGAGATACTGTAAATGGTTTCAAGGTTTCTTTATCTAACTGGTAGTTTGGAGGGAGCGAATAGGAGCTATGGCTATATTCAATCCCTAATAAATGGGGAACCAAGGAGCTACTAAGAGCGCCACACCATGACCACTTGGGAGTGCCTGACAGTTTTTTTTTGTGGATGCTAAACTGTAACAAGGGACATCCCATCTGTAACCAGTCCGAACCATGGTCTTTCAGTACTTACCTGGGTTTGTCTGAAAATGATACCTCCAAATGGATCCAAATGGTGGCCTTTAAAATGCTTCAATAGAAAGATTCCGTTTCAAAAAACCCTCCAGTTTCGTTTTTTCCATTAAGACATTAGCTTACTAACCCCAGCCGGGGTCCCAGACCAGGAAACCTCCTTCGCCATTTGGGTCCCTGGCGGTCGGGTGCTCACCTGGGGTGATGCCTGCTGCGGCGGCGCCGTGCCGCCGGAGCTCCAGGCGCGGCTGCGACGGGTGCAGCAGATCGAAGCCTCCTTTGGGGCCTATGCGGCGATCCTGGTGGATGGGACCGTGGTGACTTGGGGACTTGCGGAGTGTGGGGGCCACTTGGAATAGAGATTCTAGAATCGACTTTTTTTTTTCCCGGGTGTATTCTTTTTGAGCTTGAAATTGGGAAGTTGAATGGGTGCTGAACTGACAGGCAGTTCAGAGAACAGTCGAATCTGCCAGTCCGATTGAGTTTGCGGGTATTGTTCTGCCACGTTGATCCAAAGTGATCTGGAAAAGGCTGTTCATGTCCAAAGTTGTCGTAGGACGAATTCGCATCTGTTTTTTTGAACCATCCACGCCACATTTGTTCCGAACCATGTAAACCATCAGGGGGCCTGTATAAAAAGTTGCGTTTCAATGCAAAATGGTTATACTTTGCCAATCTTCAAGGCATTTCATGGCGATATCATCATATGATAGTCTGCGCATGTCTTTCCAGTATTTAGTTCATTTTTCTCTGTGGATTTCTCCGTTTTGGCTGCCAGGAATCCACATTTCCCCTGATCAAATCCACATGTTAGTTCTTTGGTGAATAAACAACCTGGTAGAATCATGTAGAATCCACAAAAAATGGATAAACATTGCATATATATATATAGAATTATAGAATATATATATATATATATATAATCTATCATAATCATTCCCCAGGCAAATTCCACATTTTTTGGTTCCCATAGCGCTTTCCCCAGGCACCAGCGACGCGGTGCAGGCGCAGCTCTACGACGTGACGCTGGTGCGCGCCTGCGACCGGAGCTTCGCGGCGCTGCGACGCGATGGACGGGCGGTGACCTGGGGTTCCCTTGGCGGAGGAGTCGTGTGATGGGTAAACTCATGTAAACTGTAAACCCCCCAAAAAGATGTTGAATACTGGTGTGTCATGCGGAGGATGATAGTTCTGACTGTTTAAACAGGCATACGGTTGCCAATTTTTGGTTAACAAGTGCACATTAAATGCATAGTAAATAGATATATTTGAGTTGCTTGCTTCAGAATTAGTCCACTTTGACCGTCGGTGTGCCAATAGGATTTCCACCTGGCGGAAGATTATTGATGTCTGGCGGAAGCGGTGTGCCATGCGGCTGGTGCAAGTTCTAGTAAATGACGGAGATGCTTTGCACGACTTACTTGGGACTAGGTGTGTCATTGGGAAAAAGAAAATTAAAGTACCGAAAACAAACGAATCCATGTCCAGAGTCATGACAAGAAAACGGGGCGTGTGCTGCAGAATTGGTTGCTTTTCGCATTTGGATGGAAGGCAGCTGTTTTGCTGTCAATGCGTGTGTGCCAATGGCGGTTGCCCACTTTCAACATGGTTTTATCACCAAAGGAGATGGTATTAAATATAAAGTTCGCAATGGCACGGACACATTTTACATGTTTTGTTTGCCAAACCAACTATGGCGTGGTACCAGTGTGCCAATAGGATTTGGTCCCTGGGGTAACTTCCGGTTTGCCTGGGGTAACCCTGTGTGCCATGGGGATGGGGTAACTTCTGGGTGCCTGGGGTAAGAAACGACGTCCGCCCAGTAGTGTGATGTACCACAAAATGTCATCATTTAAGTGGGAGATTGTGCTGAACCTATCCCTTTGGGGCCGTTGCTATACGAGATTCCGTCAAAATTTGCGCTGGTTAAGTATGTACTGGAGTGTGCATCGGATGTGTTGCATGAAACCTCCTAAAACGATAGGGGACTCACAAAAATAGATACGTTTTTGTTTGCGCATGCTTGCGCGTTTTGTGGTGTGAGCATTGTGTTTCCTTAGGCGGGAGTCTCGCTCGCATATGACTTGCAAAGATGGAGCCTGCGCCGAACGATAACAGAACACGATACCGAAACGATACTCAAATCTTTCCAAAAAACGTCCCGGGTGAGTAACTGGTCACAAAACAGGCCGAAAAGGTGGTGGATGTTGGTAGTATGTCGTAGTGACGGACTGAAATTTTCGTCGCTGGCTGGATAATTTTTGAAGTTAGCAGCTGTGAGTGGCCAAAGCATGCTCAAACTCATTTTCTTTCCAAAAGACCTGCTGTTTGAGACTGCCCAAGCAGCGCGAAGGAGGACCACATGAGAGAAGCACGGGCAAAAGCACAAGTGTGCTCCAACGCATGCAAACAAAGATCTTCAGGGATGAGGATCCAAGTGGACGCGCTTCACAACTATGCTTATACAGAGGTAAAATATGTAAACACATGTAAAAACAGGACACCGTGTAAAAAGATAGGGGACTCAATTTGATGACGCACAGAAGGGCTACGCAGGGTTTTGGCACATCCCATCTTGAATGGGAGTACCTGGTGGTTCACCCCAGCAAGTGCCTTAGAAATTATAAGTTATCACCCAAGTGAATTCAGTAGGGTAAGTAGGATTAGTCCAGTTATAAATTGAGATATTTGAGTGAACTAACCGGCTTACTACCTGCGGTGAAGTGAACCAACAAATACATGCAAATACTATACTCATACTCTGTGAGACCCCATGCCTCAGGAACTCAGGAGTGTGCTTTTGTTGGCAACCCCGTCGAAAACCCTTTCAAATCCATATAATCCCTATAAAACCTCTTTAAAATCCTTATAAATCAGCATAACATCCTATACACCCACTATCCCCAGAGTGGTTTCAGGCTACGAGCCCAACCCCTTCGAGAGTGCCGTCTCCAAAGTCCAAGACCGCCTGGTGGAAGTGGCGCAGCTTGCGGCCTCCAACGGTGGTGCCTTTGCGGCGACGTTGCGCAATGGTGACGTCGTGACCTGGGGCAGTGCCACAGATGGAGCAGACAGACACTTGAGCTGAGGAGGGTTTAAGGTTGTTTTTTGGAAGGGTTGCGGGCAACATTGGAATTTGGGGCTGGTGATATGTTTTTTCTCCTTTGGGCTTGATTTAAGTATCAAAAACCGACACATTAACATTACATGGAGTTTTCTTTGGAAAGGATCGCCATTTTATTGTGTCAAGAAAGTGAGATGCGATTTTTTGAAAAGGAGGACTGAAACAGCGACCATTAAGATTTCAACCATCAAAACTTGGGATTTCAACACAGAACATGTCCCAGCATGGACTTGTTTTTTTTTCCTTTGGGGGGTGTTCTATTCAAACATAGCACGGCAGATGGATAATTTTTGAACATGTGCAATGCGGAGATATGTGTGAAGAGTACTTCAGGTGCATCATCCCCACTTGAGCGCGCAGTGGGTTGCCATAATATGTTGCAATAGTTGTAGGGACTATATCATCTATATCCCAACTTCTGGAGGTCAATTCTAGCCATTAACAACCCCAACTGCACCCCCCGAGGGGTTGTGGTGCCAGGCAGCATGGTGCAAGGCCAGCTGAAGAATGTGCGGCAAATCATTTCCTCCGCACGCGCCTTCGCAGCGATTCTGGAGGATCGTTCTGTGGTGACCTGGGGCGATCCCGAGAACGGGGGCGACTGCAGTGCAGTTCGAGATCGCTTGAAACTGGCCCGAATCAAAGGCGTGTGTTGCCATCACCGCTTTTTGAAAAGATGGGAAAGGCAATTGGTTCATTATTTTGTGCGACTTTTCCGAAATACTATATAATGTTTGGACATGACCTATAGATAAAAAGTTGATGCATTTTTGTGTTCTTTGTGGATGACCCACAGCCCAGGAGGGGGAACACAACCCAGGAAGAGTGTGGTGCACATTCATTCCACCTATGGGGCCTTTGCTGCCATCCTTGATGGCGGAACGGTGGTGACCTGGGGCTATCCCAGTGACGGGGGCGATTCCAGTGATGTTGTCGAGCAGCTCCACAGCGTGGCTCGGAAGGGCCCTGATGGTGTACTTGGTAGTCGTTGTGGCGCTTCGTTTCAGTTTCCTGTCATTTCCTTAAAAATAAATATAAGGGACATGCAAGCAATTCTCCTGGAACATCTCAATTTGGGGTGAAATTTAATCATTCTTCACTCTGTTAAGTATTCAGAGTCAGCTGTTAACCATTGCTCAGCCCATTGCACTTTTACCCCAGCGGGTCATCTATCTTGGGTCGCGCCACTTTTTGTATTGATCCAGCAAATCCAGCTTCAACGTGAGATTTACAGCATATAAGTTGTGTTTGTTCAGCTCCTTTTGGTTTCTGTATGTTTCAGTTTTATTCTGGTTAATTTTGTTCAATTGGTTTAGTTCTCTTCCCCAGCTATCATAAAATATCATAAATCTCTCTTTTCCCCATATCCTTCTGCATTTCGGTTGGTTGAGTCTCCATGTGTTCTTGGGCCAACTCCTTTTTCCATGGTTAAATCATGTTAAATCATTCAAAATCACCCACATTTTGTCCGGTTAAATTTGTCCCGAAAGGAGATGGTCCGATAGACCAGTTTCCCAGGAGGGCATAATAGATTATATTATTGTATATATCATTAAATTATACGTATAGTTATCATTATTTATCCCATAAATCCATATAAATCCCATAGATTTCCCTGGTTTTTCGTAGCTTTTCGATGGGATTTGCTGAAAATCCAGGTCCAGCAGCTCGCCTCCACCGCATCTGCCTTCGCTGCCACCCGAGCCGATGGATCGGTGGTGACCTGGGGCCATCCGGAGCGCGGGGGCGACAGCAGCAGGGTGCAGGAGCGCTTGAAGGAGGTGCAGCAGATCGAAGCCTGGAAGGTCATGGCAAAATATGGCTTAAACATCCCAGAAAAACGAGAAAGACCTGGGGTTGTTGAAGGGAAATTGACCAAAAAATTACAGATGGAACATGAACCATTTCGGGAACCTGGAAGGATTATTAGGCCTTAGGATAATCTTCTACTTTTTTGGGGACCCCTCAAGCAAATCCAAGCCCAATTACCAATTTACGGTGGTTTACATCCCAATGGAATGGGGTGAAAACCACCAAGCCGAATCCTTTCTAACTGAATGGGATTGACGTGTGTGTGTGTATGTGTGTGTTTCACAGGCGAAAAATAGATAAACAATGCCCATTCACCAACTGGTTGGATTGTTTTTTGAAGACAGATGTTTTGATGAGTGTTTGCGTTTGACCTACCAACTGTGATGACCTGAGTAGTTGTTTGATTTCCAATATGTCCATTTCCCATCAATCAGTCAGTTGTTTTCTATATTGAAATCTCACGAGAAGACCCGACCCCCCTGTGACCAATTTTCCCCGATCGATTGGCCTCAAAATCTTGGGGTTTAAGCGGAGTTTTTTTTTCTCCATGATTTTTGGACCAAAAAAAACATGCTGGTTATTCACCCAGCGTCCAAAAGCATCTCCCGAAAATTTTTAGCACCCAAAGTAATCCAAGGAAGGATCCAGAATGGGCTTTGCGGCCATCCTTTCCGAAGCTTGGCAGATGGAGCCCACCTCGTGGGCTGCTTTTTTGGGTGGAACTTGACCTGGGGATGGATGGAAACCCATGGAAACCAATCATTTTCCCAGATTTTTTTGGAACGACGATCCATTTACCAACTATATGACCAGGCTACCAGGATTTTGACACAGCAATCTCAAGACATGCGTCGTACCTGGCGCTGGTGATGGATTCACTGATTTCTCCCGCGGGTCGAAGAGGCCGTGGGAAAATGGTGCTGTTCTCTTCCCCATTTTCCCACCCCCAAGGTTTACCCTCTGGTAAACTAACATAGCCATGGAAAATCACCAGTTTCAATGGGTAAATCCACTATAAATGGTCATTTTCAATAGCTATGTTAGTTTACCAGAGGGTATCCAAACAGGTCGTCCCCAAGCTACCGATGTTTTTCGCCATCGGACATCATTGTTTCCATAAGGATCAGTCACAACGTGACCATCCAGTTGGCTGTTAAAGTATGAGCCAGGAGTTTCTCTGGATGATTTTGATATTTGAAACCCAAGTCGTGGATGTTGGCATTTGAGCGGCCAAATAGACGTTGAGCCAGAGACGCTGAATTCGATGTTTATCCCCTGCTAGATATGTTCGCATCGAGTTGACTGATGGTGATTTACCCTCTTATATCCTCTTATAAAACATTTATAGATTTTATAGCCACCCCCCGAAAAACAGGTCGAAGCAAGGAGAATTTGAAAATCCAATCCATTCCAATATTCCAATATATTCCAATCCTAAAAATTTGGCCAAATCTATCTTCAATTCATATTCTCTTCATCTTTTTTTTGTTTTTTAACTGCTACAAACCCATCGACCCCATCCGTTGCACATCCCCGAGGACGGCGCGCTGGTGACCTGGGGGACGCACGGCGGTGCTTTGGGCGGCGAAGCTCCGGAGCTGCATGACGTGCAGAGCATCAAGGCTTCAGGAGCTCTGTGGATGATATGTGTCACATGATATTTATGTGATGTAACAGTATAAATATAACTTGTATCTCAGAATCTCTATCACTATATACAATATATATATATATATATTTATATAAATATAATTGTGTATATATAAATATATATATTTATCTTTTATATATATATATGTATATGTATATGTCCGCACAGATATATCCATTTAAATATGTAGAGTCTAGAGTTGTTTGTGCGCGTGCGTTCCGGAATATTCAAAACCAATTCTGATTCTACGTTGCATTCGTAAAGGCCAGGCAACAATGCCTTCATGAACATCAATTTCGCCCGGCCATTTTTTAAAAGGATTGAGGATGTGAGACCGAGCTGCAACTTGATAGCCTCAAGTGATCCAAGTTGCTGAAAAACATGTTTCAATCGTACAGGATGGTTTTCCACTTTGAATTTGCCAAGAGTTCATATAACGATTGATCTCACCGAACTTTGGCAGTTGCGCTTCTCTCGAAATTCTTTGGCTCGAATCGATGCCCCTGGTTATCCTGCAGGAGAGGCCTTTGCCGCGTTGCAAGGGGATGGCACCATCGTTGCTTGGGGATCACCCCACTTTGTGACTGACTGCAGTGGCATTCAGGAGGAGCTCAAGACGCTGTGACGATCTGTGACGCATGCGGCGCTCCAAAAAGGTCGCTGTGCGACAGGTCATGCAGGTTCTGCAGGTCATGCAGGTCATGGTGAATCTGCGGTTTCACCATTTGGGGAATGTCAACCAACATGTGGGTAGCCCCACCCCAACAAACAACGGAGGTGGAGGTACTGTACCAATCAATGGCTCTCAAGTGGTCATTCTATCTCCAGAGCATCCACGTTTGGTAGAATTATTTGCCCTTTATTCATGTGCATCCAATCCAAGAATGAACCAAATGTAGTAAACAGACTAGTCCTGTGGACAGCATGCGACATAAAGATCTCTATTTATTTGGATGCTTCCAGGTGACTTTGAGACGATCTGAAAAATGGTTTGCCTTAAAATCCAACGATTATCATCATTTTCTTCATTCGCATGGCAATTTGGAATATTCTCATAGCTGCTGCGCCGCAAAAAAAAACACATCCACCTATTCACTGCCTAAAACCACCGTGTCTTATGCTTAAACCCAACATGTTCTCAACTTTTGATGGCAAAATCCCATTTTTCCCTCATGCTCGATAGTAAAACGCCCGCTGGTTCAAGTCTTTTTACGCTTTTCACGTCACTGAGGCGTTGGATTTTGCAAACAGGAGCCACCTTCACGACCCAGTCCAAGAAGAAGGAGAGACACGTTGAACCGTTAGTTGGGAGAAGCGGAATTATGATATTATATATTCATTATAACTACTAGTACTACTACTATTAAAACCAGCTATACAAATATTATGAATGACTATGAATGATTGTTATTGATTGACAGTTATTGTAAAGACTATCGTTGATATTGTTGTGTACTGTAATTGACAATTATTAGCACAATGGTTTAATACTAAAACTATAGACATGTATAGACCATTATATGTCATTATTATGTGATGCATTCTTTTGCCCATCATTATTGGGAAATCATGGTAAGTAATAAATGGTTCATCATGGTCTAGAATGATTCTTAATGGTGATTCATGATGATTAATGGAATGACCCTCCGGTGACCCAACAAGTCTAACCGGAAGTAGTTCGGGAGCACTAGGGAGAGTTTGCTGTGATATTATGGAGATAGGAAAGGAATATATCACCAACTTGATATCATAATTGGGTCCCAGATTAAACATACATGGTCACCACCTGGCAAATGAACTAAATACTATGGAATGCATGGTTTTCTCCAAAACATAATCTATATACCAATGACGGATTTTCCATGTCTGTGTTTACCGCAAGGTAATTTAATGCAGGTTATCATCCAAATGTTCAACTTTTCAATTTGCCGAAGTTGGTTCATGCCCACCCTTTCAACTGTAGCTTCATTGATGTTCCAGCTCGGGATGTTTTTCTCTTCAATAACTGGCGTGTTTGTGTGTACAGCACATGCACCCATGCCTTTGGGGCTGGGGAGAACGTGTGGCTTCTCGATTCGCAGGAGCATATGGAGGAGAACCTTAATATCTTTGATTTTGAGCTCAGTCAGGACCCCTTAGAATCCGGTGTGTTCAAGCTCTGATGGTTGTGGGCAAAGTGAAAAAAAACTCCCACCAAAATTCACAGACACGCTGAAAATGACCTGCAAGCCACAGTTTTCTAGAACACTCTTGCAAACACCCGCAAATTTCAAAAGAGAGACGGAGCAGACATTTCCAGATTTGCCAGCAGAATACCAGGCTTTAAAATTGCAACACTTTGTGACATCACGCTGTGAAATGGCATAAAACAACTTGAAATCACTGGAAAGCGGAAGCTCTTGAACACTAGCAGAAGGAATCTCCAGTGGTATAACATGGTATAACAAACTAGAAAGTAGATGAAAGTCGTAAATCGCGTGTCCTGTCGTCTGAATGTAGCCTGTTTTTCGAGTTGATCAAGCCCCGCAGGAGGAGGTCAACAAACTGAGTGACATCAGTCAGAGCATGACAGGAGCGGCACAATGAACTGTGAGATATGTGGATGATGTGTGAGTACTTTGTGTGACTGGTTATGGAGTAGCATGGAGTAGCTGGTGCGCCAGAACTTGACAATAGCATGAGGAGTATGTATTCATGTGGCATAGTCCTTGTTCCTTCAGATCAGGGATTGGGTCCAAACTAGTGAACCCTCAGAATGGATGGTTGGTTGAAAAACACTCAAACATGACCAAATTTGTGGAAATTAGGCCAACCAAGCAAAGAACCACAAAGAACCTATTGGCAATTTGGCACACCGGCATCTGGGGGCGCCAGAACCGCACTGGGACATCAACTGCATTCCCGACACCTGATGTGGAACCCCCCTGAAAACGGATAGAGAAATTGATTTCCAGTGAACATCAGATTTTTCTTCGGGGGTCATACCTCAGTATCCTTTCATTCTCAGGCCAATGACTTTACACCCATTGTTTCCCAGCTGTTTCTCTTTGGTCACCGACACCCAGGAAAACTGAGCGCAGCTGCTGACATCATCATTCCCGTGGGCGGAGCGGTAGGAGGTGCAGCGTTGACGCTCGGCATTGAGCTAGCCTTTGGGAATCAAGCATGGTGCGGATGGGGGCGTCAACTAATAAGCTTTCAGATGGGTTTCACAACGTTTAACAAACAAGACTTAGGGCTTCACCAAGACCAGTATTCGTTGATTTGTGCGGGATTTGAGTAGGGGATGAAAATGTATGAGCACAGCTACTTTGATGATCACAAAGGTACTGGGGCTTGGCACGTGGCTAAATATAGTTGTTTACAAGGGACTGGGTCCATCTAACCATGCCAGGCATCATGTGGTACGGCTCAAAATCACCCACACAATTGAATAGTTTTAAACACCTAAGTAGGATTTGGCATTTATCAACGGACGATTATATATATAATTATATATATATAGTTATATATATATATTATATATGTAGATACATAGATTTTGCCATTTACTGATGTTCGGCTCGCATGGTCTAACCTCCAAGTGTTGTACGTGATATAAGCATATAGAAGCTACACATGCATACATTTACAGCCAGTTTGTTTGGCCACCCCGCTGTAATACTGTATAATTGTATAACTCTCAAGATTTGCGTTGGAAAAGCATTGAGGCTGTCCTCCTTTCTGGATTCCTGGGACAAGCAGGCAGCAACTCGGCGGGGACCCAAAGAGGAAATCTCATTTGGCAAGGGAAGACAGGACCCAAGACATGCCAAAACTATCTAAAACTATCTCATTGGCACTGCTGCCCTGTTTTTTTACTGAAGATTTCCGGAGTTTCCTGCTCTATGTTCCTTTGTCCTTCCTCGCCTTGGCTTTGTCATCAATCTCTTCTTCATCCTGTTGTCGGGGCGCTCAGCTGTTGGGAATATGTCAGTTGGAGGTTTCAAGCCGTATGTTCTTGGAGAGCTTGAACTTGAAAGTTGTTTCAATCTGGGAATCTATGACATTCTCAGTTGGAAAGCTACAGAAGTAGCTCGTTCAGTTTGAGCTTGGAAGTTTGTGTCATTTTGCAGCATCTTTACTTTCTTCCGTAGCTGTCTCTTGGCTGGAGAGGCTTTTTCGCTGGTGTAGGCTCTTTAGAAGTTGCAATGGGTCTCAAGTCTCTTTTGTTCCCTTGTGTCGTCCTTGCAATGAGCATGAGAGTTGCAAGCAGCGGCATTCGGCCAGCTTCCAAAACATGAGCGGGAACGAGGTCGATGCAGACCCCTCCCTACTTCAGATAAGTGAACCGAAGATTCGTCATGCCCATTGCACAGAGCATTGCAAAGACACACAGCTAAAATGCGGATATCACGTAAGAGGTCTCCTGGATAGCGTTCCACGCAGCACGACATCGTACCTGAATCAACTGTGTGCAAAGAATTCAGAGATTTGCAAGACCCATTGCAAAACGGACTGGCTCGACAGGGAGAAGGAGGAGGACGACGACGAGGAGGAGGACGACGACGAGGAGGAGTACGACAGGAAGGAGACGGAGGACGACGACGCGGAGGAGTAAGACAGGGAGGATGAGGAGTAGCAACTTGAGGGGTAGAGACTTTTTACTTGACAGCTACGCTGACAGTGCGAGTGCAAAAGAAGAGCTCTTAGTAGGAATAGGACATTGCTTCCGTAGAGTCGCATTTGTGCCTGATAAAAGATTGCCGTGCCGTTCACACCGCGCTGAGGTTAAGAAGACGTGGTCATCAACAAGTTCATGAAGGGTGGTAGTTTGGGCGTGGCAATTGCGGTAATCAAAGAGATTTGAGATTGAGAAAGATGTGATGCTGTTGTGATATGCTAGTTTGTATGTATGCTGGTATGTATGCTGGGGGGTGGGATAGTATATTGGCTGGGGGCTGAGGCTTCCCCTATAGGGGGAGACTGTGGTAATTAATCCCATAATCTTCATAATAAATGAGGCCAGGCATGTTTGATGTGTTATAGTTTGTGTTAGTGTTGGCGGAGGATTCTTGTCGATTACTGTTCTGGTAAGGGATACAGTAGTTGGTTTTGGTTGGTTTTGGTGCGGCCATGATGCTCCCAAGGATCAGAATGATTCCGTGATTCGAGCGAAGATGAAGAAAGAGGAGGAAGAAGAAAAGGCAAAAGCTAAAAGAAAGAAAGAGGAGGAAGAGGACCCCAAGGGTCGACGAATCCATGTTGATGGCTTAAAACACACTTGGCACGCTGTCGTCAACGGTGCTTTTTTATGCTTGCCTTCTCCTGTTTTGGAGGGCCAGGAGCCAAACCTTTTGAACAAGGGGAAAAAGAACTAGCAGTCGAACTGACTCGAAGTCAATGGGCATTTAACTAGCAGCGTCCAGCCTCCGAAGGTGGGTGATTAAGTTACGACTCCTCTCGCGAGGAATCGCACTTGTATTCAACTATTCAACCCACATGTTTTGTGATTATTTTACTGGCTAAGCTGGGCACGAGGAATCCCGTATTTCGATTGGAAGCAAACCACACCAATGCTCGATTTTTCACTGCAGTGTTTGTTTACCAGAGAGTAAGGTTAAAGAAAGGCTCAACATGGTTCCATTGTGTCTTACCCGATCAACTCCAGATTTATTGTTTGGTTGGATCATGTCAATCATGTCGCAACACCATTC